AGAGTATAATTTTATTTTAAACCATCTTAACAAAAGTATTACATGCTCCCGGGGGAGGGTATAGCTCAGTGGTAGAGTGCCTGCCTAGTATGCATGAGGTCCTGGGTTCAACCCCCGGTATCTCCATCAAAAAAAAAATATATAAGCCTAATTACCTACACTCTAACAAAATTTTTAAAAATATAAATAAAAAATTTAAAAGTAAAAAAGAAAATTAATGCATGTTCCTGACGAAAATTTTCAAGAGAACAGAAAGATATTAGGTGAAAAGTCTTCTTCCCTGCTTATCCCTGGAAAGAACTAAGCAGTGTCCCTGGTTTCTTGTGTAGCCTTCCAGAATTTTCTATGTGTGTGGAAACCGACTTGGGCAAAACATGACAAGCCCAAAGAAACAGTAAGAATAGCTTCCACTTGTTGAGTGTTCCCTAGGTGCCAGCCCACCGATGGTGCTTGCTCTTTTCGCTTAATATCTCTCGGACATGTTTCTTTGTCCATAATCAGCTTTTGCAAGGTCTGGTGTGTCCCCGGGGTGGGGCAAGTGACTTGACATTTCCCAATGCTTTTATCAGAAGTGCCTGGCTCCCGGCGAAACTTCCTTGTGGTTGAGTTACTGTTGCCTCCGTTTTCAGGTGGGGAGACTGAGGCTCAGAAAAGCACAGCGAGGTTTTGAGTCCGTGCAGCGACCAGAGGCAGTTCTGCGCCCTCATCAACCACGTGAGGCTCTGGGGCCAGAGGGAGGCCACACTGGCCTCCAGCCCCGGTTTCTGGAAGAGAGCAAGATTCAACAGAACCCAGGCCGGCAGGAGGCGAGTGTCGAAAGCCCTGGCTCAGCTGGGAAGTGCAGGCCAGAGGGCAAGGCCGCCCTCCAACCCCCCCCCCCCCGGGCTCTGGGATCAACTGCACCTACCAGGCTCTCAGGATTCAGGCTGGTGACCCTCCCTCCTGCCCGCCCAGGTGCCCACACAGGGTGAGGCTCCGTCCCCAAATGCGTCACGCTGCATCTTTGATGCTGTGACTCCACTTCTGCAAATTGGGGTCACAGTGATGCGTGCAATTCTTGAACAAGGGCTCTGCAGTGTGGGGCAGTCATTGCGCCTGCTTTGACTGTCACTGGCTGGAGACCCTGAGCCTGGGCAAGTCATTGGCCTTTCTTCTTTCTTTTTTTCCCTTTGTTTTTAAAAACGGAGGTGAAATTCATGTAACACAAAATTAACTACAGTGTCCTTATTTAGTGGCATTTAGTACATGCACAATCTGCAACTGCCCCCTCCAATTGGTTCCAAAACATTTTCGTCACCACCACGGGAGACTTGTACCCATGAAGCGGTCACTCCCCCTTCCCCTCTCCCCCAGCCCCTGGCGGCCACCTATCTGTGTTCTGTGTCTAAGGATTTGCCTTTCCTGGGCATTTCATAAAAATGGAATCACAAAGGACGTGGTCTTTGGTGACTGGCTTTTTTCACTGAGCATCCTGTCTTCCAAGTTTATCCGTGTTGTCCCGTGTGTCAGAGCTGCGTTCCTTGTACTGACTGAGTAACATTCCAGTGTATGAACAGACCACGTTCTGTTTATCGGACATCAGGGCTGTTTCCACCTGCTGACTTTTGTGAGTAGTGCTGCTCGGATACTTGCCCTTCCTCAGCCATCTGTGAAATTCACATAATAAAGGCACTGACTTCGCGGGGTTCTGGGGAGGATGCAATGGGTTATGGATGCACAGCCATCACCTCGCATGCTGTGACACTGCACTGCAGTGTCTTTTGAGTGTTTCCTGCACAACCTGACACTGACTGAGCACTTACTGTGGTCTAGGCACTTACCTGTTTTCACTCATTTATGGAAATGCTTTTCATTCATTCGTTAATTCCTCCAGTGCCTTTATGGGGTAGGTCTCTCTGATCAATTCCACTTTATAGAAAACCAGGCCCAGAGAGATCAGTGAATGAGTTGCCTGTGGAGACAGAATTTGAACCCAGCCCACCTGATCCTGCAGCCCATACTCTTAATGCCTCAGCTGGTCTACACTCGTGGGGGAGTTTACACAGCTCTCCACAGTGACGTCGGGGCAGTCACCTCTGGGCTGGAGACTGTGGGGTGCTTTCACTTTCTTTTCCCCCAGACTTTCTCTGTTCCAAATCTCTGTAATTACTTCATCTGTTTGTTTTCACAATGAGCAGATCATAATTTTGTAGTCGGAAAGAAACAGGGATGATTTTAGATGATGTTATGTTATCTGTCAAGTGGAAAGGGCTGATCACAAAATTCCAGGTGCAGCCTGAGCCCACCTGTGTTGAGGAGGGCACAGAAAACCTCCGGGGGCTGTTCGCCAACATGTTACCAACGTTAGTCTCTGGGAGGCTTACAGATCAGGTGAGTATGTGATTTTTCACATAAGTTCGATGTCTTTCTAGCTTTTCCAACTTTGTTTTGACAGCAAACAAGTATCAGCTTTACATTCAGAGAGAAAGTGATTCTAAAAACCAAAGACAGATGTTCTCAGCTGGGACTCCTGTGTGTTTCTGCTTTGGGCCCAGCCAGGCAGGTGCATTTGGTCTGCTGACAGGCTGGGGCACTCATGCGGAGGCTGTCAGACCAGGGGCTCCTGCCCTGAGGGACATGCCCAGGGATGCCAGCCTGACACTGTCATTTGTCACCTCACCCACCCCAGGGACACAGAGCGGACACTCTAGCCCCAGGGCCTCTGGCACAGCACCTAGAGCAGGCCCTGGGCTGTCCTGTCCTGTCCACCCATCCCGGCCACCTTGCCTTTGCTTACGCACTGCCTCCGCCCCCACCCGATGGTGCATTTCCCAAATTCTCATTATCCTCAGGCATTATCAGTAGGGCCCAGTGGAGCACTAAACAGAGCTGTGCACAGTTAGAAGAAGGCGTTTGTCCCGGCTGCCGTGCACAAGGGACTCCCACACCAGTCTGGGGTGGTCCCCACCACCGCGCCGTGAGTCAGTGTTGCCTGCCCTGATCATGGCTCTGTTCGTGGGTTTTGGAACAGGGCCTGGCACACAGCAGGTGCTCAGTACATGCCAAATGTATTGTATTGTCCCAGTCTCGCTCCAGAATGGAGATACCCGAGGCCCAGAGAGGTTAAGTAACTTGCCTAAGCCCATACAGCCAGCAGGAGGCTGGACCAGGGGAGATCTGTCGGACTCAACACCAGTGCTCCTGGTCCCACACTGGCCTTGCTCACTCTGGGTTCTGATTTCCAAGGGGAGTTGGTCCCCGGGGATGAGCAAAGAGCTTTCTGTGAAGGAACGGGGCAGTACATGGACTCTTGCCCCAGATAGCTAGAGTTTCAATCCCAGTTCTGTCATGTAAGAGCAGTGTGACCTTGAGCAAGCGTCCTCACTGCTCTGTGCCCCCCTCCAGTTGCCACATCTGTAAAATGGGTACAATAGTATTACTCTCCTTGCACAGCTGCAGTGAGGGTAAGTGAACCAGGCTCAGTACAGAGTATGTATGATATTTGCTGATTAAAGGAAATTGATCATCCTAGCGGGTCAGCTGAACTACTGGGCAGAGCAGGGCCATCAGGGCAGAGGCTCTTGGATTTTGGGCTATGTGATTGCCGCCAGGCTTCCTCCCCACCTTGAAGTGGCCATTGAATCCCTGGACCTGACTGGACATCTCCATAGCTCCCTGTCTTTGCTTGACACACCCTTCAGTCTGGAGACCAATACCCCCATGTGCCCTGATTTAAAGTGACCCCCTCACCTAGGAAAAAGAGGAAGTCGAGACCCCCTGGACAGGGCCGGGGACCTCTGCTGTAGCCAGGGTGGCCAGAGAGACGGTTAAACCCACAATGACAATACAGAAGGGCCAGGACAGCCAGACAAATTCCATCAGGGGGACCCCAGAAGCTTCCTGGAGGCGGTGCTATTCCAGCCGGGTTGTGACAGCTGGGTGGGAGTTTGACACAAGGGCCAAGAGGAGAAAGATTTCTCAGGCATGGAAGGGTGGTATGGGCAAAGGCAGGGAGGGCAGAGGCCGCTGCATCTGACCCCACGGCCACCTCTACCTTGGCAGGACACCCAGGGCTGGCCTGACCCAACCCTGACAGCAGCTGCCAGGAAAATAGGTCAGAGTGGGATGGACCCTGGCGGCCTTGCACGCGAACCCAGCTGGGACACGCAGCCGGGGCAGAAGAGGGAGGGTGGGCTGAGCGCAAGTGTGGCTGGGCTGGCCTCCCTGGCCTCCCTGGCCTCCCCGGGGCTGTGGCTCCCGCCCCACCCATGTCCAGGCCACCCAGTGAGTCTGTAGGCAGTCGTGGCTGGCCAGCTGGCCGAGGGGAGCGAGATGGCTGCCTCCAGGCCCGCAGTGGGTGGGAGCCCCATCCCCGCCCAGCTGTCCCGACACAGCTCCACCCAGGAACCGGGCCCAGCCTGGCGTGGGCTGGCTCGGCCCCTTCCCACCAGGCGGGGCCTGGCCAAGGCATGTGGCTACTCTGAGCCTCAGTTTCCCCGCAGCTCTGCAGTGAGCTCCCGGGGAGCCAGTGTTGGAGGCAGCGCACGGGAAAGCAGAAGCTCCTTGTGGTTGCTGCTGTAGCTCCTCCTTCAGTACGCGTGACCCACGGGAGGCTGCTGCGATCCGTGGGAGAAGTCAGACCCAACTGGATTTGACTTCCAGCTCTGCAGCTGGACAGCTGTGGGTCCAGGCAAATCACTTGTCTGAACCCCGGTTTCCCTGCCTGTGAACTCTGCAGTGGCGGTGGCCGGCCTCCAGGAAAGGCCACGGTCACCCCAGGAGGGCAGGGCCCAGCTGGGGCAGCTCCAAAATCAGAAGCAGCGTCCTCGTGGACTGAGTCCAGGTCGCTGCCCTGGCCTCCTGACGCCATCCCTGGCCCTGCTGAGCCCTCCTTCCCCCTGCCCTGCGCCCAGCCAGCCTGAAGGGCTAAGTGTCATAACCCCTCACCCGTGCATGAACCCTCGCTGTTTATAGGGCGTTTCACATAAAAGACGCTGTCATCATCCCCTTATACAAACAGCACTGTTCAGCCGCTGCTGTGGGCAGGCCCCGTGCTGGGCCTGCGCAGGCCACAGGCCAGGAGAGACAGACGGACGCACAGCCGCAGCCAGCATCCTCCACTGAAGCTCAGGCAGGAGGGCTGGAGGTTGGGGAGGGGCCAGACAAGGAGGCGGTCTCTGGCTTGGCCGTGAGGGACCGGCGGCCTGGGCTTCTGCCCCTCAGACCACTTTGCAAGTTTGCTGTTGGTTCTCAGGGCCCAGCGCAGGCCTGGGGTCGGGAGGGCCCAGCAAGTGTTCACAGAGTGAATGAGTGAGTGAGTGAAACGGGGTGGAGAGTGCTTGACTGTCTTCATGTCAGACTCAGAATTCTTCTCAGGGAGAAAACTCGGCCCTGGGAAGTGACTTAGTCGAAACTCTTAGGCTGGTAGTGGAAGCGTCAGGGACTCTGTGGTGACTGAAGGGTGGACAGGCCCCCTGGCTACCAGGCCCTCTTCTCACTTGGGAGGTGAGCAGGGCTCTCCTCAGTCTAGACGGCCTGAGGGCAGGGAAGGCCCGGCAGCTGGAGTCTTTACTGTGCCCTGTGGCCTCAGGCCGTCCATTGACCTCTGGGCCTCAGTCTTCCCATCCACGAGATGGGGTGGTGACCGCAGTGTGCCCAGGGCATGCACAGGGCTGCGCAGGGCGGGGGGTGAGCAGACAACACGGCCATGCCTGGGTAGGTGTGGGTCTGGGCACCCCACTCTCTAAGCCCTCATGCTTGCTGGGCAGGCCCCCGCGGGGAGTCCAGACCAGGCAGCTCCCTTTTCGTTCACGCTCCTGGGCACCCTGGTGCCAGACATGCTGGCTGCTGGCACCCCCTTTAATTGTCATGTCTGCACTGGTACAGCTTGTCCACCTGAATGCACTCATTTAGGCCCCATAAAACGGGTGACAATGAGCCGTGTCAGACAGGAGGAGAGACAGCTTCACAGAGGCCTCCGGACTCAACAGACTAAGCAGGCACCGGGAGGGAAGGCTGGGCTCCTGGGGGAAGCTGGGCGGTGCCCGCCAGAAAGCCTGGCAGGGCCTGGGCCAGCCCTTCCTCACAGGGGAGCTGGGTCAGAAAGACAGAGATAGAGAGACAGGGAGACAGAGGGAGAGACGGGTAGAGGGAGGCCCACAGACAGGGTCAGAGACTGAACAAGAGAGAAGGGGCGCCCAGGACGGGGTGGGAGAGAGGCGGTAAGAGGAGGAGGGAGGGAGGGGAAGTCTTGTGAGAGGCAGCCTGGAGAGAGCAGGTCTGGCCCCCTGGGCCGGGCCGCCCTGCAGAGCACACAGAGTCTTGGGCCGGAGGTCCCCTATTGCCTACCAGCAGTCCTCTCCCTCGTCCCAGCAGTGGCCAACTCATCCGCTCTCTCTCACTGCCCAGCAAACACACACGTGCCCACCGACACCCCTTCATGCATACGCAGCTCTCAAACACACACACATACTCACCACCACTGACCGACGCTCAGGCTCAGCCACATGCACACATGGTTGGCTCCCCAGGGGCTCCTGGTCTGCCCTGGAGGTGAGAGTAGACCAGGCACGCAGGCCCATGCCTGGACCCTGTGCGCCGAGGCTGCCGGTGCCCCGGGTCCACATACACCCCTGCAGCACCCGGCGGGGTCCTGGAACCTCCTAGAACTTCGGCAGGGTGGGCTTTCCCCTGCTTCAGAGCCGATTCTGCCTGCCCCACATTGACTACACAACTCAGAGGGCAGCTGGGGCCCCGCCCCTCACAGATCATGTACCAAAGATTTCTGTGGTGGGCGATTCGGCTGCTCCCCGCGTTGGTCCTGGTGTGACACTCGGCTTCTGGTTCACGGTGAACACCAAAATTCAATCCCAACAACATGGTGGACAGAGCAGGGCGCAGGGGACCGGGGGAGGGGCAGACAAAAGGGGCTTCCTAGGACAGCAGCACAGACATTGCCCAAGGGGCAGCACCCACCCCCCTTGCCCCCGCCGAAGGTGTCCAGATGTGGACGGCAGCCTTCCGAGTGGGCAGCAGCCGTGGTCCGTGCTTCGGGCCCCGCCCAAGTCCAGGGCAGACCTGAAGGGCTGGGCTGACCCCGCCCAGCAGCCCTCGACCAGTGACAGCTCAGACAATGGATCTGCAACAGTTACAAAACCCACGGAGCAGCGGAGCGGAACAAGCTCAGGGCTCGCATACAGTCCATGGAGCGGGTCCCCACGGCGGGCAACCCCAGGCCGCGAGGGTCACAAATAACTCAAGCTTGTCATTTTAGTCACTTCACAAAGTCTTTTCTTACATTTACTTTTTAAAACTATTTTTTGTTTAGCTAGAATTCACGGAACATGAAATGTGTCATTTTACAGTACAGCATATAATTCAGTGTGTTTTGGTACATTCACAGTGTTGTGCAACCATCACCTCTATCTGATTCTGGAACATTCTCGTCACCCTCAAGAGAAACTTTGTACCCATCAGCAGTCACGCCCCACTCCTCCTGCCCCAGCCCCCGGCAACCACTGGTCTACTTTCTCTTTCTCTCGATTTGCCTGTTTTGGACACTTCAGGTAAATGGAATCATGCACCGCGTGACCCTTTGTGTCCAGCTCCTTTCACTCGGCGTCCTGTTTTTGAGGTTCTTCCACCTCATCGTATGGATCAGGGCTTCATTCCTTTTCACGACGGGATACATTCCATTGTGTGGTTACGCCACATTTTGTTTACCTGCTCATCTGGCGATGACTATTTGGGCTGTTTCAAACAAACTTTTTTTTTCATTGAAGTACAGTTGATTTACAGCTTTGTGTTCGTTTCTGGTGTGCAGCACAGCGATTCAGTCATACACATAGATATTCCTTTTCATGTTCTTTTTCACTATAGGCCATTACAAGGTATTGAATATAGTTCCCTGTGCTCTATAGTAGGACCTTGCTGTTTATCTATTTTATATACATATATTTTATACCTCAGTATCTGCAAATCCTGAACTCCCAGTTTTTCCCTTCCCACCCCCTCCCATCCCTGGTAACCATAAGTCTGTGACTCTGTGTCTCAAACAAACGTTTG